GCCCCCCCCCCCCCCCCCTGCCAGCCCCCGTCCCCGCCATCCCCGTCAGTGGCTGTCGTTCTTGATGACGATCTCCACGCCGTGCTGGCGGAGCTGCGCCCGCAGGATCAGGTTCTTGTTCTTCAGATCCTCCACCTGGCAGCGGGGAAGAGGACGACGACGCGGTGAGGGCGAGCGGACCCCCCGCCTCCGCGCCCCGGCGGGACCCCCCGGCCACCTCACCTGCTGCCGCAAGACCTCGTTGTCCATCTGGAGCTGGTCGAGGCCCTGCAGCTCCTCGGAGAGGCGGTGGTTGCTCTGCCGCAGCTCCTGGATGTAGTCGCAGGCTTTGGAGAGGATCCCGCCCTTGCTCTGGGTGAGGGGACGGGGGGTGAGCGGGAGGCTCCGGCACGCCACCGAGCCTCGCCCTTGCCCCGCAGCCCCCCGGGGAGATGGCGGGGGGTCCCCTACCTGCCCCGACTTGGTGTTCTCCATGGAGCAGTCGGGGATGATCTTGGAGAGCTGCACAATCCAGTTGTTGATCTTGTCCCTGCGCCGGCGCTCCACTGCGAGGGAGGAGAGGGGGGGGGCGTCAGCACCGTCCCAAAACCCCTGACGGGCACCGAGCCTCGCGCCGTGGTCCCCAGACCCCCCGTGCGACCCTCGGAGGGGTGTCCTCCCCCTCAAGCTGGGGCTGGGGGTCACTAAACCTAACTGCACTGAGCCCGGCGCCCCCGGGAGGGGGGTGGGAGCGGCGGGCAGGGCCGGATCCTGCCCAGCTCCCTGGGCACCCAGCGCCCTGGGCGGCTGGGAAAGCGGAGGTGAAGCACCCAAACGGCCCGAGTTCTGCCCGTGCCAGACCCAGGCCCCTCAGGGTGCGAGCAGGGCGGGCGCCCTGCCTGCTCCTGGGGCTGCGAGGACAGCAGAATCGATTTTAGGGTCAAACCAGCCCAACGCCCGGGTTTCGGCGGTTTTGCGAAGCTGTTTTTGAAGCCAAAGGAAGGAGGATCCTGGCTGGCGCCTCCACCCGTCCGGGCTGCGCCGGGCACTCGCCCCCGCCGCCGTCTGCTCCTGGCTGGGGGCCGGGCAGGGCCGGGGGCCGCCTGGGTGCCTTACCTGGGCGTGCTCGGGCTTCCCAAGGTTTGAGCTTAATCTTCCGAGCTCTGGCTTCCCCTGCTGCTGCTAATTACAGCTCTCCCAAAAAAGGTTTTACCCTTAACTGACAAGAGCTTTGTGATATGTCCTTAGAGCCTTTCCATCTAGGAGGTGGGAACAGACAGTGTTAACCCAGGGACAGCTCCCCTCCCCACGCTGCTGCACGCCACAGTCCCCACCGCCCCTCGCCGATGGCAGGATGACCCCCCCACCCTGCCGCCGCTACCTTCGTTGTGCTGCGCCCGGCGCTTCTCGTCCCGGGTGGCCCGCGGTGCCTCCGACTTCCTGGGGGGAGAGCGGCAGCGTTGGTCCCTGCGATGCCGGAGGGGACCCGGCCACATCCCAGCCTCCCCATGCCGGCACAGGGGACGCCTCGCTCCTGGCGTGGATGGGGGAGACCCAGCCCGCTCCCAAAAGCGCCGGACCACCGGAGTGTCCCCCTCGCCTTTGCTTGTGCCGGTCTCTGCATCGGCACGGCTGAGGGTGGCTGCGACACCCCCGTGCCCGGGGGGAGCCGGGGAGGGGTCCGGTACTCACGGGGAGTAGGGGTGGGCGCGGGGGGTGATGGTCCTCTGCGCTCCGCCCTGCAGCACCTCCTGGGGCGACATCATCACGAAGAACTGCCCTGAACGGCCCAAAATGAAAGAGGGGATCAGGCAGGGAGCACCCCGAAACGCCCCACGGAGGGGACCACGATCGCCTGGGGGGTCCCGAAGGACAGGGACATGAGACCCCCCTGCGCCGGCCGTACCCGTGGGGGTGGGCTGCCCCAGGAGGGCCTCTGAGTTCTGCGTGGTGACGACAGCGGTGGCCGTGGTCCCCGCGCCGGCAGAGGTGCTGGTGTCGGCCACGGCCGTGGTGGGGAAATAGGTGTAGTGAGTCTCGGTGGCCGTGGCCTCTGTCTCCACCGCATCCTCGCTGGTGAAGGCGCCCTGGATGACAGCCTGGAACAGAGGGACGACAGCGGGTGCCACGGTGGGACGGGGCGCTGAGGCCGGCCTCACTCCCACGCAGTACCAGCAGCTGACACTGGCACCCACCTGTGTCATGGACTGGGCGGCGGGATAGCCGCTGATGGCACTGGTGCCCTCCGTCTGTCCGTCCAGCTGTCCGTCGGCCACTTGGATCACCCTGTACATCACCTGCCGGGAGAGCCGCGGCGGTGGGGGTGGGCGGCGAGGCGGCGGCTCAGCCTGCCCGTGGCCAACCCTGGCATCCAGACCTGCCCGGCGCAGGATCAGGCCACGGCGCTCCCCTCCCAGCTGCGACCAAGCCAGCGGGCACTCCGGAAGGGCCAAACCCCGCTCCAACCCCAAACGCCCCCCCAGAGGGGACCCGGCCCGAGGGTCTGCGTACCTGCGTCCCGCCGTTCTCTGTGCGAAAGACATACTTGATGTTGGGGTCGGGGAAGGTGGCCGCGGACTGGATGCTGGCAATGGCAACGCTGGTGGGATCCTCACCTGTGGCCACTGCACCTTAAGGCAAGAAGGGGGGAGGGAAAGAAAGCCCATGACGGGGAAGGGGCCGGGGCTCCCGTGGCACAGAGGGGAGCTCAGAGCCGTCCCCTCTCTCCCAGGGGCAAAGACGGGGTCTGGCATTAGCCCAGCATGTGCCTCTAGCCACACGGTGCCTGATGCTGGGGCTAAACTGGGCACGGCTGGGGCTAAATTGGGCATGGCTGGGGTGTGGGGCCTCCTCGCGCAGCCCCCAGGGCATCCTGGGCCCCAAGACCCCTGCGGCTGCAGTGGGGTCCCCGCTCACCTTCCTGGATTTGCACTGTTCCCTCTTCCGTCTCGGCTGCTTTCTGCTGCCTGCAAGGGCAAGGCGAGGTGGGTGAGGCTGCAGACCCCCACCATCCCGCAGCCGGGACCGCCCGCACGTCACCCACTCCCCTCGAGGGCCCCAGCCCGGTGTCGGCCTGGCCAGCCTTGTCACCGGCCCCCGGTACCCACAGGAAACTCGTGTGCCAGAGCAGACCCTGGCGCGGCCGCCGTCCCCCCACCCGGTGCCGGCAGGGGGTCCCAGCACTCACCCCTTCATCGCTCTGCTCCGTCAGGCATCAGCGGGGCAGTCACAGATGAGCCTCCCGGCCTTCACAGCCCTGCGGGGAGCACAGGCGGTGGCTCAGGGACGGGCCCCAGCCTTCCTCCTCCTCCTCCTCCTCCCCAGCTCTGCGCCGGAGCGGGCCCGACGCCAGCCCCAGGAGGGGCACCTCCCAGGCAGTGGCAGGGCCCCCC